TAAAGTAACTTATATTTTCTTATTGCATGTTGGACAAGGTGGACGTTACTTTCTCCATTCATATCATGTAATGGATGAGTATTCTATAAAATTTTACTTTAATCTCAATGGAAAGAAGAAATGATTCAATATCCATACAAACCTATGTCTATTTTTTTTTACCTTGGCAGTAGTTATTCAATTTATATAAATTGACACTGGATGCATATTAAATGCATATCATGTAATGCATGTTGATTCACATTAACCGTCCCATCTATGTGAATGTGAATACAACATAACCATTGGATACTTTAGTGTTAAATTAAACTATGGAGATTATTTTGCTTATTTTTTTTTTTTTGTTAGAGGTCATGTCATCAATGTTATTTTGTAGCCTGAAATTTTAAATTTTGGTTAGGTATTGATTCTAAAACACTTATAGAAATTTGCTTAATAATGCTTAATTATAGGGTAGCTTGAAACAAAGAATATTTTTCTTTATCTCTAGGCTTTGCTTATTAATTAAATTAAATTCAAGTGCTTGCAAACATTAAAATCTCTTTTACTTGAGAATATCATAGGAGCTTGCCCGAGTTGGTTCAATTAAGAATGTCATAAGACTTCTCCTATCTCAATTTTGCTTAATAAATCCCATGCATCATAAGGGCCACACTAATATGATATAAAGTTTAGATGTGATTCAACATGTTAAGCAGAACTAAGATAGGCAACAATAATTAAGAATTGCTAGTAGTTGATTTTTGAATTTTTGCAATAACTATTTAAATTATTTCAACCTTCCTTCCAACTCAATTAAAATGTAGTGAAGATTTTGTTTTCTCTTTTAATTTTTAGTTCAAGTTCTTGAAGCCTAGTCCTAGTTCTACTATGCCTTTCAGTATGAGAACAGCGATGAAATGTACCCAAACTCAATAGCCTCGTAGGCTTTTGAGTGAGGTAAAATAGTCACCATAGAAGTGTTTTTTACGAGTGTATTCTTTTTATCGTTCCCTTTTAATTTAATTTTTCTTAACCTAAAGGACAATTGCAAGACCGATTGTATGATAAATTAGTAGCTCATTCAAAAAGTTCCCACTCCTCACACCAAGGGAGTACATTTTGGCTTTGCGAATGTGAGATGGGAAAGACAAGACATACTATTGTTTTATGAAGGTGAGCTTCATAAATTCTTTTTGACCCTACATCTAATTACTTTTCAAAATGTTTGCTTCTAATATTGGCAATATTTTAATTGTCTATGTTTGTGATGGCAGTGGAATTGATGTTGAACACAATGAATAAATACTTTATATTAGTTTTTTCCCTACATTTTGATGTTCATGCTCTATTGTGCCTTCTGATTATTTTCCTGTGCTTCCTTTTTCCCATTTGTCATATTCCAGTTAATAGTTTTCAGAGTTATTTGACTGGGAATGATTACTTTCCCCTATTCAATTTGTAAGTTTTACTGAAATTATGTCGAGGAATAAACCAGCTTACAAAAACGAGGTAGAGTTTGTTCTAATGGCTTTGATGGAAATACCTTCACAGTATAAAACAACGATGAGGCTTGATGCTTGATTCATTTTGTTTTGTTTTTTTTACTTATTATATTTTATTTTTTGAAGGAATGAGACATGCTCCAAGTATTCCATCACAAGATAACTACATGTAAAGTAAAGTTGGAGCTCTTCAAGATGTGAAATCAACCTCTCATGGGTTATTCATCATTTTCAACCAATTTATTACTATGGTTACTTAGTCCAAGACACAACTTTAGATATGTAGGTGGATACAGTTGACCAAATTTCTATGTGTTAAGTGTATTATTTATGATAGCAATTTGGAAATTGTAATATATTTTTAACACATTTTTTGTATAAATACAATTAGGATGTAATTCAACAATAGTTCACAAGGTTTGTTGCTTAAACTATTTATGAGAAACATTTATTCAATTGTCGCCACTTTACAATTAGCAACGATTGAATTGATTGTTGTTAATTCAACAACAATTCATAATAATTGTTGCCATAAATATTTATGAGAAATAATTGTCAAGCTAATTCCTAATTGGCAACAATTAACTTAATCGTTGCAAAATGAACTTTGGGGCAACAATTGCTTGATTGTTGCCCATTCAACAATAGTTTATACAGGTTGTTGCCTAAGATAATTGTTAGATACAACTCTTCAACTATTGCAAATTTACAATTAGCAACAACTAACAAGATTGTTAGGGATGGTACCATTAGGCAATAAGTAATTGGTTGTTGCTAAAAAACTATATGGGTAACAGTTTTTATGCATTGTTGCTAAAATAATTTGTTTGGTGACAGTTGCAAATCGTTGTTGTAAAATACTATTTTTGCCATCACTTGGACCGGTTGTTGTGAAAAAACATATTTCGCAATACTTAATTGTTGCAAAACACTTTTAACAATGGCTTCACTAGCAATAGTTCATTCAATTGTAAATAAAACATTTGGCAACAGTTTTTCTTATATTAGAAACATTTTTTTACTATTGCCAAAGGTCATTTTTCTTATAGTGCATCAACAATTTTAAGTAGTTACACAAATTCTTTTACAAAGATGATAATAGCGAGATTCGTAATCACACCACCACTTGGACAATTCATCCAACACATCAACTAATTAAGATTACAAAATTGCCTTCCCAAGTGAAATGAGATTTTGTGCTCGTAAAAATGGTTCTCACACTGTCATCACAACGTTTTGCAGATATACATTGGAAACATCTTTGTATTTGTATGTTTTGTTTTCATTCATGGGAAAATATTCTTAATGCACGGCTGTATTCTGAGGACGGTGTGAGGACCAAATCTGGATTCTTTCCAAATTAATTTCCAGCTAGCGAACAAAAATACATGGTCTCCATATCAAATACATTTCTGCACTGAATTGTGCACTCACAAAACAACTTCACCTTGCTCAGGTTCCAAATGAAGTGACAAATTCAGAAACTAATATTAGGATGTTTTCCTTCCTTTATCTCAGTAGTCGATAATTTAGGGTAGTCAACTGGATTGGATTTGGTCCAATTTGATCTAGTCCAAAGTGAGTCCATTATAAATGGACCAGGTTCAATCCAATACAATGAATATTTTGGATCATTTTGGATTAGTCCAATTCAATGTCTAGACTGTTCAATCTATTCAAATTTGTTTTGATTTAGATAGGTTTCAATCCAAACCCGGTCCATTGACACCTGTATTCTTATCTTATATTTAAATGGATCAGATATTGGCTTAATCCAACCTAATCCAATATAAGTTTATTATGGACAAACTAGATCCAATCTAAACTAATAAATATTTGGGAGAATGACGGTTCAGCCCAACGTCAGAATTCATATGCGCAAAGTACAATTGGGGTAGATGCCAGCTCGGAATTGATGCCAATTCATGAGCGGGCATTGATGCATAGGGTGGGGGTAATTGACATTTTGAAATATTGTAGTTCCACAGTGAAAATCAGAATTCTACAGTGGGCCTGTCTGTACTTTTCCATATATATTTTGAATCAAACTGGTCCAATCCAATATGTCTTATTAGTCCCTCCAATCCATCCAAATTGATTTTTAACTCGACGGGGTCCAATCCAAAACTGGTCCATTAACACCCTTAGTCGGCATAACCCTCCTCCAAAATTTTAGCTAGCTTAATTATATTTTAGTTGATTTTCTGTTTAATAACAACGACCCATCACCATGTTCTTGCAAAATTGTAGTGAATGATCCCGTCTCCATAGTGATGAAGAGATGAGCAGAGACCAACCCTGTCTGAACCAAACAGATTATGGAAATGGACCATTCCAATTCCAATTCCAACTATGAACCAAACGGACCCTAAAATAATACAAGGTTTTGTACTCTATGTATTTGTATTTATACTCTTTTCAAACTAAGCCTTAAAAGAAATACATTTCTGATGTTTATACATCACATTAAAAGACAAAGCAACGAGTCATTTAGTTCATCCATTATCAAATGATGCTCATTAGTTACATTTGCAATTTGCCCAGAGATGACATTGGCGCCCCAGAGTGTGTCCCACGAGCGCCCCTAGCACATCCAAACTGTACATTTGCATTGCTCGCCCAGATGTGCATGTGGGACGCAGTATGGATGTGTTTGGTTTGAAAGAAAACGTGAGGAAAGGAAGGGGAAGGCAGGAAAACCGAAAACCTATAAACATAACCTATGTGAATTCATTTGCTGAAGCCTGAAAGTTGGATAATGCTGCAATCCTGTTTGGTTGTATGTGGTAATTAAGGGGGTGCTCTACAACATAAATTGTTTTTTCTTGTTGCCTACTCCAAAACCAATTCAAAGGCATCTGGTTTGAAAACTAAAATCAGGACCATGTTCTCGAATTTCTGGTTTCGAAAATATGTTTTTATCCAATTATTTAATATCGTGTTTCATAAATCATATAATTCCAATATTAGAAAATTTGTTTCTGTTTTAAAAATTATAAACATGTATCGTCTTTTATCAGAAAACCAGCTTGTTTTTCCCTCTAAAAACAAAAACAGAACTCCGAAACATGTTTTTGTTTTTGTTTTTTTTTCTTTTTTTCTGATGCGGCAATTCCAAAAATAAATAAAAACATTAATGTTGTAAGACATTCAATGATTTGTTTCCTCGGAAGGAGTAGCTTCTCACATTGCTTCTCTGCCAGGAGTGCCACTAACTTCTATCTTGCTATTCTAAAAAGAAACGTAAAGAAAAAGAAAAAGAATATGAGCTAAGTGCTTATGTTTTTGTAGCCATTTGAGACTACCTGATCTTGATAATCAGCCTTTTGTCAGCAGAGAGTATCTGGTTCAAAGGCGCCTTGCCGCCTTGGAGTTCTCTCCTTGGGACATAAATCTTATAGCTATATGGCTTCAATCCTCCGGTATACAGTAGAAGGTTATAGAATTCTCAGCATACAAGATCGTGCACAACTTCATATAGATGTTAGAAAGATTCAAATAAGCAAATTTTCATCTTCAATTTTCAGTTCAAATTTCTCAGAAGAACAAATATTAAGACAGACAAATGGGAGTGTTTTATTCCCTGAATATATATGTATTTTCAGGAACGACATATATGACCAAAGGTTGCAAATCCGGAATATCAACAAAACGAGACGTGTAAAGCCCATCACAACTCCACTATGAGGTAAGACAACTGGGTTCTATAGTTTAGTTCAGAGCAGGACTCAGAGCTTACTTGATTTGATATCAGCAGACGTCATCCATAGCTTAGCTGAAGCGACCAGCTCTCCGTTGTCTTTCCTTCTAACCTCCACCAACGCTGATGAAAGCTTCGCTTTGTGTCCCACCAATTTCGCTTCAATCTCCACTTCTTCCTAAACCAGTAAACTCGTAAAACAACTGAAACCAATCTTAGCTTTTAATAAACACAAACAGCTTCCAAAGCTTGCAAAGAAAACTAACATGGATCTTAATAGTAGAGAAGTAGGATACGCTGAAATCGACGGTGACCACTTTAACATCCCCATCTGAAAAAGATACTTTAATAACTGCAACTCCGACGAGGTCGATTAGGGTTGCTATTGCTCCCGCTTGCCAATTGTCATTTTTATCCTATGCAGATGAGAGAGAGAGAGAGAGAGAGAGATTTCATCATTTTCCTTCATCGGAATTCAGAAGAAAATATATAATTAAGAAAGAAGCGGTATAATAAGATGAACGATTAATTGATTGGTGAAAGTGGAGGGATTAGTGGGAAGATGGATGAGAGAGGACTTATACACAAATGATTCGGTACAGTGAAGTAGCCAAGGATAAAACCCTTCTGGGCCCGTACAATCTGGACAGACCTTCAAACCAGTCCCCGGCTTTCTGTAAAGGATCTTCCTTCATCGTCTACTTCAGTCTCTGGCTTTCTGTAAAGGATCTTCCTTGATCGTCTACTTCTGTCTCTGACTTTCTTCTCGTGCTAAAAGGGAAGCCATCCATGAGCGTGGCTGTTGAAAAAAAATAACAAGTTGACTACACTCCACCTCAGAAAACGAAATAAAGAATCGGAAAAACAAGTCGTAATGGCGTCCACTTGACTTGAATCGTAAATAAAGAAAGGCCTTGCCTTCAAAAATAAAATAAGTCGAGCGTGATTCGTACTTTTTTCGGAATAAAGAAAGGCTTTACAAAACCCCCGCTATGGTTCTATTGTGTCAGTGACAGGAATGCATTAAATCACTAAAATATTCATCTAAACTTCCTCTTTTTATTTTCTCACCCCTTTAGGGGTTTTTATTGTTCAGTACTTATTCCTTTATCTTAAACCTTAATTGATTAAAAATAATACCTTCATTTTTTTTTCAAATAAAACCAGTTAAAATTATAAGAATCATTTCAATAATACAAGAAAATAAGTTTTTTAAGGATTAAATACTTGGGAGAATGAATTATCATTCCAGGTCAGAAATTTTTAGCCCCACCTTAGAGGGAGATGAATCCTACCGAGGATTGATGCTAAATCTTTGGGCAGGATGCAGTTTATAGGGCGGTTACTAATAGATTATAGGGGGTTATAATTTCAGAATTCTGCATTGAGCTGCAATGTATTTAACCCTAAATACTTAAACTATTCCTTTAGTTTAACAAATGGACAAAAACTTATCCTTCTGTTAAAAAATGACCCTTAAGTTTTTTGACTATAGACAAAAAACCACACTTTGTGGTTGATTTTGCCTTTCATTCTTCTTTAAATTTTCAAAATAAACTTTAACAACAATTCCTTTTTTTTTTTCCAAATCTTCTACAACTCTCCTTGCAAGGTTGCAGTTGTTAGACATTAAAACTATGAAGATGATATTGAGACTGAGAACCCCGACAATTTTTTTTAGTATAAGAGAACTCCGACGATTGAATTATCGAAATATAGAAAATAAAAAGGTAGCATATCCAAACAAGTCCTAATTAAACATTTTTTTTTTCTTAAACAATTCTCGGTTAACACTTGAGAGAAATGGGAACCATTTGAACCGAATAGAAAGGATTTTCAGAACATATGTCAGTGAAGCAAATAGAAAAGGATTTCGAAAATTAATTGGAAGTGACCCTATTGTTTGTAGCAGGAAATAAAATTGAGAGAATGGAATTTTTCCAATACAATGATTTTCAACGCATGGTTAGAAACATTCAATAGAGACCAATATGAGCAACAGTAGAATTAACAACACAAATTAAAAGAAATTACCCGACAATAAATTATGGCCAGAAATTAGTGCTTTCAATAACTCTAGATGAGTGGGTTAGACTTAGTTGATGATGAAGACCAAAATTAGTGAGCGGATTTCAAAGATACTTAATACTCATCATGCTAATTGGATAGATTTGATTATAGGAGCACGAATTGGAGACAAAATGCCTGAATCACTGGTGAAGGAAGAGGAGATAAAAGATGTAAAAGGAAAACATACCTCGTTTATAAATCACTGAAGTCCGTGTTCCATGTCTAAAGGCCGAGCCTGGCAAAAAGAAACTTTGGGGTACCAAAACCCGTTGTTGGTTGCTTGTAAGTGGCATGGGAAAGAATAACAAAAACTCATCCAAAGTTCAAAAAATCATTATGGATTGGCCCGTATCGACCCAATACGCACCTACAGGGATTGTATTGGACTCATCTATGATGAACCTTGCACTCATCTATGATGAAGATGACAAATGATAAGAAGATCTTCTTGTGGGGCCCTCTTTCCTTAAACTCCCTTACAGTTCTTCCATGTTCTTATCGATTGGGCTTTGTTTTGAAATTTTAAGAAATAATGGAGGGCAAATTCAACATTTCACTTTTTTCCATCAATATTTAATGGTGATGTCCATTGTTAAGAGTACTTTAAGTAATTTTTCAAACAATAAAGTAAGTTTTTGCCCATTTGCTAAACCATAGGAGCAAGGTCTAAAGTATCAACACGTATCGGTCCGTATCGGTTGATACGTGTCGTTCTGGGACCCCTCCGATACGCCCCTACAGTGGGTGTATCGGAGGTCTGACCGGTTCAAGGGGTAGAGGAGACCTAAACCGGCCCCCCTGAACCGGTTACAAAAAACAAAAAAAAGGGGCTTAAAAATGTGTATCGATTTTCCCAATACGCCGCCTATCGACGTATCGATATTTTGAACCTTGCATAGGAGTACTTTAAGTATTTATTCCCTTTTTTTAATTTGTGTTTCATTTCATTGACATGTTTATCTGTCTTTATCTTAATATATAAAAATTATCCACTCCTTTCTCCAATAAATCAAGAAAAACCAAATGAAACCTTAAATTTATGTCAATAAACTTCCTACCATTTTGTCTGAATATTGAATCCATCAAAAATTTTGCAAGAATCTATTAGAGCAACTAAGAGGATTTCATTATTATTATATTTAGAAAACTAATCAAATCATAATTGATGTAACCGTTCCTGGTCACGTATCAATTTTTTGGCTAAGTACCTCGTCAGTGACGTCTGCTCCCAAGTGGCCTGTGACTCAGAGGCTAAAGTGGAGCTCCCTAGTGGCGAACTGTCTGGTGGCGAGCTACCTAGTGACGAACTGCTTGGTGGTGAGCTGCCTGGTGGCGAACTGCCTTGTGGTGAGCTACCTTGATGAGCTACTTGGTGGTGAGCTACCTGGTGGCGAACTGCCTTGTGGTGAGCTACCTAGTGGCGAGTTGCCTGGTGCCGAGCTGCCTGTAAGGTGTTGGGCAAGTGCCGAACTGACTAGGTGTCGGTCAGGTGCCAAACTGACCAGGTGCCGAGCTAGGCAGGATAGGTGACGAGCTTCCTTGCTCTTTAGAGTCCTGCAAGGAACCAAATGTTAGAGGACCCGAGGTGGCTAACCCAGCAAGGTCGCTCTGATGCTTAAGTCAGTACTCTCATAGTAGACTACGAGCTAAAAATCATAAAGTATGAGAGCTAGAATATGTTTATTTGCATACTTGCTCTCTTGCTCTCTCCATGTCATTGGGGTTGGTGCCTTTATATAGGCATTGTTTGGCGAGGGCTTCACGCACCGTATCCGAGATTTCTACGAGGTTGTCTAAGTGGTTCGAGATTCCCGGAGGCAATCGCCATGCAGGTTGACCACCCTCCGAAACGTTCGATACGTGGGCCAACTTCCAAGGATCGTGGGAGTGTTGGGATATGCGTGCCGAATTCGTCAGCAAGCACGTCTTGTAAGTCGCCAGGTCGGTGCCTGGGCCAAGTTGCCAGCTCGTGCTTGTTCCAGGTCGTGCCAATGCCAGGCCACGCCTGTGCTAGCTCGTGTCTGTGCCAGCTCGCGCCTATGCCAGCTCGTGTTTGTGCCAGGTCATGCTTGTGCTAGGTCGCGCCTGTACCAGCTCGTGCCTATGCCAGGTCATGCCTATGCCAGCTCGTGCCTGTGTCAAGTCGCGCCTGTGCCAAGTCTTGCATGTGCTAGGTCGCACCTGTGCCAGCTCGTGCCTGTGCCAGGTCGCGCCTGGGCCAAGCCATGCCTATGCCAGGCCGCCAGGTGAGACACCATCAACTTGGCTAAGGCAAGTTGTTACCAAAGTGGTTTCGGGTGTCACCTAGTTGTTCTGAGGTGCCATGTGTCACAATATCATTGGAGGGCCAAATCTGCCCTCATCATTTGCCCCCCACTCCTGAGCCGAAAGTAACTCGGCGAAGGGAGTAGATTTCTCTTTTTGGCCCGGAAAGAATAATTCGATCAGCTCATAAGCATTGATTCAATTCCTTAGGCTTTGGGAGCGACTCGCAGTCCACTCCTTGATTTTTCCCATGCCGAAGAGGCGACTGGGTCTTATATGGTGAGGAGTTCTTCGCTAGTTCGGTATTTTGGCCCTTAGGCTCTGAGAGTGACTCGTATTCCACTCTCCTTGGTATTTGATTTTGCCCATGCCAAAGAGGCGACTATATCTTATGTGATATTTTAGCCCTTAGGCTCTGGAAGCAACTCGTAGTCCACTCTCCTTGACTTTGCCCATGTCAAAGAGGCAACTGGGTCTTGTGATGAGGAAGCATCTTATCAGTTCGTCAATTCGCGCCTAGATAGGCCGCTAGGTCGGCGCCCGTGCCAGGTTGGCACATG